GTAGATCATTCACTCACTTAAAAGTAATATTTTTAGTCGATCAGATCTGACCATAATACATGCAGGCCCTAATGATTGGATTTGCGGGTCCAGACGACGCCGCCTTCGTCTGCTTATACTCACCCTACTCCTAAGATCCGGCATTAACCCTAACCCCGGTCCCTACAAATGTTCACCCTGTAGCCTAAACATTAGTAGAAACCAAGCCAGTGTCTGGTGCCACATGTGGCTGGATACATTTTACATGCAGGGGCCTCAAATTTTTAAAAGAACATCAGAAATTTCTACAGCCCCTTTTGCACTTCTACTTTCTTTTTTGAAGTTCAAAAATTCAATATTTTTCTACAATTATTGGATCTAATGTTTCCATCAAATTTAGCAAACAAGGCTAATTCTCATTGGGGAAAGCATGCCTGTTATCTAGTTATCTATCCTCTCCATAATCGTATATGCATTTAAATTTGATTTAGTTCATAAGGTTTTCAAATAGCAACAAATTTCAAACGCACGCGATATGGAAGACCACCACACTAACTTTTTAGGCCAGAAAATTAATCCCAAAAACAAAGGAAATTGCCAAAATGTTACCTAAATCAATCAAAATCTGAAATTAAAAATTTTGAAAACCCCTTAAGTACACCATAGCTGAAAAGTCGCGCTCAAGCTTGCTGTTGACCAGATTATAATCAGTGATAAAATTTCTCAGCCATAAAAATTCCAGTACCCGATAAGGCATGCTATGCTCCCTCTAAGGTCGAAAAACATCTTATTGTAGCCAAACGAAAACTAAACACGACTTCTGGCCTATATTTGTTTCAGAAATTTGAGTAGGAAGAGTTCATATAAAGTAACTGCAAAGAACAAATCAATCGCAATTGTAAACAAGGATAGCCGGTTATTGTGCAAGTAACAGAAAATGTTAAGAGCATAAAATGTTAAGTCTTAAAAAATACAAAAAAAAAGTTTTTTTTCTAGAACTCAGACATACTATGCGGTCATAATAAAATAGGCAAGCTGGAAACAGCAACTAATTCCTAAAAACTAATTTAACTCGAGCTTTACTAAGTTTTCACGGATCAATTGAGCAATCTCCCCCCGTAATGACCAATTGAGCTATCTCCCCCCCCCCAGCAAAAACGAAAAAACTCTACAAAAAGACGTCAGCAAACGCAAGTATATGGATGATGTGTTTATGGCACGCAATCAATTGACCGACTGAAGTTTATCTTATATGAGTATCGAGAAAAACTTTGAAAAAAAAATCGAAATTTATGAAAAAAAAACTTTTTTTTTGCAAAATTTTGTTTAGGCGACCATAGCCTCATCGAAGAAAGCGATTTACCAGGCTTGGTGCTCTAGCCATGTATCTGAATAGCAAAAACGGTTCTCCGCAGCACCTTAATATTGTTCGCAAAAACTTTTTGTCATGTTAAGAAAGGAAAAAAAGTCGCTTTTTATGGCTGTTTTATTGATTCTTTTTTCAATCTGAATGAATTGAGTTTTGATATTGTAAATTTTGGCTTGCCACAGTCGTTGGAAAATATGTTTTATGATTTCATGTCATTCAAACTATTTTCAAGTGGTTATAAACATGTCTCAAGTACCTATTGAGCTATCTCCCCCCCCCCCCCCCCCCCCCCCCACGCGAGAATGGGGGGGAGATTGCTCAATTGATCCGTTTTCACGACTTAGATTATGTACAAATAAGCTATTTTAAGCCCGCTCGCTGACCTTATTCACTCAAAATTGGACTAAGAAATTCAAACGGGTTTTTCTCGATACAGAAAAAATTTTCTCGACTGAGCAAAAAAAAAGCTAAAACACACCCAAATACAAAGTTCCTCCCCATTTTCAATGGTCGGAACAACAACCGAAAACCATATTTACGTTGAGGTTACCGGTGCATTATACTATGCTAGTAAATAATGCAAATCCTTTTCTTTAGTGTCGCCGCCAGCTTAATATTCTGTCAAATGACATTATGGGTTCATAAACTTTGATGATCGCAATAAATTATTCAATTCCAACAAATTCTTAAGAAAAACCTTCAAAGAAAGTCTAGAAAGATACTTTTCAATTAAAATGTCTTTGATTTTAGCATCAACATTTTGCTACCGCCATTTCAAAGTGAACAAATTACAAGGTAACTTCATAGACCTAATTGACAGGTAATGTCTTCTTCCATGTATCATTAGCCTACCAGACAACGACACTTGTGATCATTTACATGAATCATTGGTGGCAACTTTATCCAGAGAAAGCTATCAGTTCAGATCAATGCCTAGATAAGAATCAGATCTGATTAACAATCATCCGTTGGTAAAGACTATTAAACCACTCTCATGCCATGCAATTGAATAGTTATGAAGCTAAGGAACGAGTCTTAGATCTAATCGGCAATCCTCAAACACCATTTACGGAGTGAGGTTTTGAAACACCTAGACTTTCATACATAAACCTTACATCTGGGGGCGCCAGTACTTGTTTGTAGACATTGACCGTCTTCCCGTTGAAGGGTAAACACCCTGTTAGCAAGACATACAGCAACACGCCACACCCCCAAATGTCAACTGGGCGTCCATAAAGTTCACATCTCACTACCTCAGGCGACATATAGTGTACAGTGCCAATCTGTTTCTGCTGCGAGTCTTGAATGAACCCTTTTTCTGGTAAAATGACCGCTGCGCTGAATCCTCCAATTTTGATTTGATCCGATTTGCCCAGCAAAACACAGCTGATCTAGTGATAGGTTATTAACTTCAGCTCATTATTCACATCAGTTTTGTCAAAAGAGTAAGTTAAAAACTTCACGAATTAGTTAATTGCACGAAAACAAAAGTTAAGTTAAAACACAATCTAGAAAACAATATCAGGTGTTGATAGATATAGTTTTACCTGTTTTGTCGCGAAACTCAGGCTACAAATAAATTGAGCAAACTATTTTTTGGTTTTCGACAATTTAGGATATGTTAGAAATAATAAATGAGCTAGACATGTGTTCTAAAAATGTCGAAATGTCTTACTTTTATGTCACGATGTATCACTGATCTCGAATGCATAAAAGACACAGCCTCCAGCACTTGTCTCATATAGTGCCTAAATTAGACAACAAAACCATTTAACCGTTCGAAAATTCTGGAATATTTTGATAAATACAGGTCAACCTTACCGCGCAATATGTTCTCCGTAGACAAAAGAGGACACCCTATGCTCGATTTCGAAGCAGATATCGCGATGGTAGAGCCGTTCGTATATCATGTAGTATTTATTAAACTCCGAGCGACTATCCAGGGTCGTGACCAATTTGGGGTGTGGCTGGGGAGGGGCGTTGGGGTCATCTGTCTTTTGATTTAGCAGCAGCTTCTCCGCTATTTTGGTCTCATTTGCTAGCTGGTCTTTCGAGTATACAGATAAAAATCGAGGCACGTCTACTATTTTGACAGCGTATTTCTGATTAGTCAGTCGGTAAACACATTCGTACACAGCACTGAAGGTACCACTGCAAAAAAAATCTTTTCTAGATTGAAACATTTTTGACCCCACAGAAAAAAAAAACTTGTTTTTTGAAACAATCTCAACATCTGATTTTCAAAAAAAGACAATTTTGGCACTGTTCGATAAAATTTAAACCAATTTGAGAAAACTGGATCAATAAGTTTAATTGCTATTTTGCTGGGAAATCTGAAAATTAAATTCCACTTTCGAAACTAGAAGTCGATCTCGTTCATGACCTTTGCATTTTTGCAGTTCGATAGTGGCGTTTGCCTTCCTTTTAACAAAAAAAATGAACTGAACATAAAGAACAATCAAAAGTCAAACCGCGAAAAGTAAAATTAAGCCTGAGAAGGTTTGAACACTTTTCCTGAAAAAAAACTTTAAAAAAAAGAGACCTATATAAGAGTCTGAACTACATTCATCGACTCTTAAAAACTATCAAAGCTGCTAGAGAAAGGCAACGGATTGTTAAATACATACCTTGATGCTTCAGTTTCTAATACTGCAGGACCTACGGAAAAATTCTCTACTCTATTTCATCTAATAGGAAGAAAGACCCTGAAGACCCAAAAACAACTTTAATTTAGAAAAACAAATGAAACCTCCTTGGCTGAATCACAAATAGACCTGCTATCAGAATTTTCTGGAATAGAGGGGTAGCTCCTAATGGGATTTTTTCCTATTCAATAATGCCTGTTGGACGCAAGCTAAAATACCCAAAAGAATAAATAATGACAAGTGGTTCATGGGATTGACTCTTCTTAAAAAAATCAACCGTAGATTCATGTGAGGCCGAAACATGCAATTCAAGGGGCAAAAGTACCTTCCAAGTAACTCCATCAACCAACTCATTTGCATTCCTATTTTTCGGTTAACCTTTGAATCCAATTGAAAATTCTCTAATTGAACTTTCAATATATCGAGAGCGAGTGAACCTTAGAATTTCTCTCGATACTTTCAACGCTGGAGTGCAAACAATTTTCTTAATTATATCACCAATTTGTACTTACTTGTAGAGTAGCTTTGATATTTTGTAGTCAGCTTCGAAGCGGGACTCTGGTTCATCCTCGCAATACCCATTCATCATTAAAAGTATCCGACAAAATAATAATCAAGTTTTCAATCTTCAAATAACGAAACTAATCAAGATAATCCGATAAAGTAACTGAACAAAAATCATCAATGGAAACAAAATTGTTGTTTAAGGCTATCAGATGAGGTTTGAAAACCATAAGATCTTCAAATTTCGTTGTTAACGTTTAGATCACCCGTTGCGGGGTCAGACCCCGACGCGGGGCAAGTTCTTTTTGGCTCACTTGATGTTTCGTCCTTGATTGGAAAACGGTCAGATTTGAGAAATTGGACAGAAATTTGATTTTATTATCTTCTAAGGGGAAGCTATTCCGGGAATCTGAAATAGACAAGTATCACATGAATGATTTTACTACAGGTGTTTTTATTATATTTAGTAATCTTATCAATACATTATCTTGTACCACAGCTTAAAAATATGCAAATTTCCCAAGAAACATTAAATTATGTATGACTAAAAGCAAAATTATAGTAGACAAAACAAATTTTCATTCCACTGCTGAACCCATCTGGGACAAATGCCGGATTATATCAACCCAGTCTCTACCCCTTGTCTGACTGTTTCCAAAACTGGATAGTTTATTTTTCTGTCTTTTCGTCAATTGCTCCGACTTGACCTCCTCTTTTTTCAAGCCTGAAGGTATTAATGAGTCCACGTTATCTTTCAGCCAATCAACTATCAGATATGTCATCGAAACTCCCACGTTTTCCTCTGCAAAAGTTTTCAGTTCTGATAGCAAGTTAGCTTTCACATGAGGTGGAATTTGGTTATTGTGCGACAACTCTAAACTAAAATTGGGGATAATTTCTGGATATTGTGATGACCAGTGAATCCTTAAAGCTACTGTTTTATCGGGTGACGTTGCGCTGTATACTGTGTACTGGAATGAATTGGTGTCAATAGCTTTGAAATTTTCATCTCCGTCAAAAATTGAATCCAAAACTTCTCGTTCTTCATTCTGTAAGTCTTCGGCAGACATTTTAATAACGAACGTATTTAAAAAGAAGACCTTTTCAGCATAGATTATTTGTTATCAGATTTTCAGGAGAGATTTTAATGGCAAGGTTCCCAACAATTCATCGCAATCTGAATAATTTTGTTTAGGTCACTTAGCAATAATTGAAGCGCATTTACAAAAACAAAGCAGAACGGGCATTCAAAGCACAATAAATCTAATCGCATTGGGACTTTCATGCCTGAACACTTAGAAATACATTTCAAAAACGAAACAAAAAAATAAATTAGCTGAAAGCGGCGTATTGTTAGAAATGTTCCGCGAGGCTTCAGAATGTAATACCGCAAGAACTAAGAAGAAAGTAGCCTTCGCTATTTGATCTAATTGAAACAAAGACCATAAAGACAGACTAGATTTTGTTGCAATTAAATTTCATGAACTGATTGAAAGACTGACCTAGTATCAGGAGCGGATCCAGAGTTTTCTCGAAAAGGATGAGGCGGATTTTCAAAGATTTTTTGTCGACCTACTTCGAATATAAGTCAAGCTATTGGCCTCCCGGTAACCATCTCCAGAGATAATTTAGCTTTATTTTATCTAAGTTCTATGACAAATGTTATTTCAAAAGTCAAATTTTATTTAAAATTTATTCTATGACAAACTTTATTGCCCGTTTCCCGTTTTGCAACGCCCAGTAACCTATCCGAAAACACGAAATCAGTAATTTATAGATTTTAAACAATTAATTATTAAATTACATTATTTCAACAACACTCATGGTTTAAATTTTTGCAAAACATGGCGGGTACACGAAAGGTTCAAGGATCGTTTCCCAGAGAAAGCCGGTAAACTAGTTAACTTACAAGAAATTTCGCGCTAAAATATTAGCCCATAAATAGTCAGCTTTTATTTCAAGTTTATTTTTAGGTACAAAAATTTTCGCTTTATTCAAACTTGGTTATCTGAGATAAATTTTGATATATGAATTGAGTTTGAGCTGGTTTGCATTAAAAATGATTCTAACAAATAGCGGAAAAAAAACGACACAGCCAATCGAAAAGTGGAAAAGAGCAATGACCACAAAACACATAAGAACACACTGCTTTTGTTGAAAAAAATTTCGAATTTCAAAGAAAAAATTGATGCCCTTAAAGCTGTTTGAATTTCTAGAACAATTTATGATTGTAACTTTTTGTTAACAAAAACCCAACTAGAAAAAAAACTGGATTAATAGGTAAAGTTTTTATTCCGCTGGAAATCTAAAAACTAAATCCCACTTTCGAAACTAGAAATCATTCATGTTTTTTCGCGCAATTTCCACGTTTGTACAATTTCAGCTAACTTCGAACACTTTTCTAAAAAAAAATCAAACTTATCAATCAATTGATATCGATATTTCTCACATTTTTCCAACAAAAACAAGACCAATACGATTTTTTTTAACTCGGATCATTTTCTGAGTAAAAATTAGAAAAATGAGCCAGGACAGAAATTTTTGACAATTAAAAATCAAGCTCAGAGTCAGAACCAAAAGAAAACAACGAAAAAAAAGAATATAAGTTTCAATTACAAAAAAACATTGATTTAAACAAGACAAACTACATAAATTGTTTTGAGTAACCGCTATCCCTCTGAGAAAACAAAAAAATAAGCAAAAAAGTACACCAAATCCAAGGTAGTAACAACCTTGTTTTATGATGAAAAACATAGCCAATCGAAGATTGGAAAAAAGTAATGAACGCAATTAAACATTAAAAAAACACTTTGTTGAAAAAATCTCAAAAATCGAATATCAAAGAAATAGATGCCCTTTCAGCTCTTTGAACTTCAAGAACAATTTATGATTGGCTTTTTTTGATAACATGAACCGCATTAGAGAAAACTGGATTATTAGGTAAAGTTTTTATTACGCTGGAAATCTAAAAACTAAATCCCACTAACGAAACGAGAAATAATTCACTTTTTCCGCGCAAGATCCCCATTTGTATTTGGAGAATGATTTTTACTCACTTTCAGCAGATGAATTTCAATTGAACTCAAAGAGTGCATATATACATAAATGCATCAATATTTTAAGACTTTTTCCTGAAGAAAAGAAACGAAAACAATCAGCAAGACCAATATATCATTCACGTTTTTTCGCGCGATTTCGACGTTTGTATTTGGAGAGTGCTATTTATGTAACTTTCAGCAGATGAATTTCAATTGAACTCAAAAAATGCATGTCTCAGTGAAAGCATCAATATTTAAACACTTTTTCACGAAGAGAAAAAAACGAAAAACAACAGCAAGACCAATATAAGAGTCTTCACTACGTTCATTACTATTAATTACTTTGTCTTCCTAAAAAAAACTGACAATTTGAGCTAACTTCTAACACTTTTCCGAAAAATCAAAATTATCAATCAATTCATATCGATGTTTTTCACACTTTTTCAACAAAAAAAAACCAAAATGATTTTTTTTTTAGCTCGGATCAATTTTTCGAGTTAAAATTTTTAAAAAAGAGTCAGAACAAGTTTTTTAAACAATTAAAACTCATGCTCAGTAAAAGAGTCAAAACAGGACGGAAACAACGCAAAAAGGAATGTAAAATTCAATTAGGATAAAAAAACATCGATTTAAACAAGACAAACTGCATAAATTGTTTTGCATAACAGCTACCCCTCTGAGAAAACAAAAAAGAAATTGGCAGAAAAAGTACGCCAAACCCAATCTAGGAACAACCCCATTTTATGATGAAAAACATAGTCAATCGAAGACTGGAAAAGAGTAATGAATGCAAGCAAATAAACATTAAAAAAACACTGACTTCGTTGAAAAAATCTCAAACTTCAAAGAAAAGAAATAGATGCCCTTCAAGCTCTTTGAACTTCTAGAACAATTTATGATTGGTTTTTTTTGATAACACGAACCGCATTAGAGAAAACTGGATTATTAGGTAAAGTTTTCATTACGCTGGAAATCTAAAAACTAAATCCCACTTTCGAAACCAGAAATCATTCACGTTTTTTCGCGCAATTTCGACGTTTGTATTTGGAGAGTGCTATTTATGTAACTTTCAGCAGATTAATTCCAATTGAACTCAAAAAATGCATGTCTCAGTGAAAGCATCAATATTTAAACACTTTTTCATGAACAAAAAAAAACGAAAAACAACAGCAAGACCAATATAAGAGTCTTCACTACGTTCATTACTCTTAATTACTTTGTCTTCCTAAAAAAAAACTGACAATTTGAGCTAACTTCTAACACTTTTCCGAAAAATCAAAAATATCAATCAATTCATATCGATGTTTTTCACACTTTTCCAACAAAAAAAAACCAAAAAGATTTTTTTTTTAGCTCGGATCAATTTTTCGAGTAGAAATTTTTAAAAAGAGTCAGAACAAACTTTTTAAACATCAGAAAAAACTTTTTAAACAATTAAAACTCATGCTCAGTAAAAGAGTCAAAGCAGGACGGAAACAACGCAAAAAGGAATGTAAAATTCAATTACGATAAAAAAACATCGATTTAAACAAGACAAACTACATAAATTGTTTTGCATAACCGCTACCCCTCTGAGAAAACAAAATAGAAATTGGCAGAAAAAGTACGCCAAACCCAAGCTAGAAACAACCCCGTTTTACATGAAAAACATAGTCAATCGAAGACTGGAAAAAAGTAATGAACGCAAGCAAACAAACATTGAAAAAACACTGACTTCGTTGATAAAATCTCAAATTTCAAAGAAAAAAAATAGCTGCCCTTTCAGCTCTTTGAACTTCTGGAACAATTTATGATTGAAACTTTTTGATAAGATGAACCCAACTAGAGAAAACTGGGTTAATAGGTAGACTTTGTATTCCGCTGGAAACCTAAAAGCTAAATCCCACTTTCGAAACGAGAAATAATTCACTTTTTCCGCGCAAGATCCCCATTTGTATTTGGAGAATGATTTTTACTCACTTTCAGCAGATGAATTTCAATTGAACTCAAAGAGTGCATATATACATAAATGCATCAATATTTTAAGACTTTTTCCTGAAGTGACCCATTCTAATGACCCAAATTACCAAATGACCCGTTCTCGGCAAATTGAAGCATCTGTCGCGGAAAACCATTTCAGTTGAGCAATATGGGCAAACGAGCTTTGAAAAGTCACGCAGAGGGCATTGAAAAAAAAAGTGAACGCAAGTGATCATAAAAAACACTGACTTTGTTAAAAAATTTCAAATTTCGAATTCCAGAGAAAAAAAAACAGATTCCCTTTGGGATTTTTGAATTTCTAGAACAATTTACCATTGGCACTTTTTGATAACATGAACCCAACTAGAGAAAACTGGATCAATAGGTAAAGTTTTTATTCCGCTGGATAAACTAAAAATTGAAATTCACTTTCGAAACGGGAAATCTTTGACGTTTTTTCGCACAATTTCCACGTTCGTTTTTGGAGAGTACTATTTACGTCACTTTCAGCAGATGAACTTCAAGTCATACCTAGGTGCATCAATATTTTAAGACTTTTTCCTGAAAAAATCAGCAAGACCTATATAAGAGTCTTCACTACGTTCTTAACTCTGAAAGAACATTTTTTGTAAATACGAAAATTCCATCTCAGAAAAATAGAAGAGAAACACAGCGACAAGCATTGAACAAACCTTTAGTAATTTACGAGCGTTCAATACCAAACGACAAGTGCTTAGACATCAATGTACCAACTCAAAACTGCCACAGAAATCTCAAAAAAAAATGGACCAGAAACACAATCACTAGCATTCAACAAGCTTTTAGTATTTTCCGAGCGTCCAATGAGCCACCAACACGTAGTTACACGCCTATTGATCCCAAAACAAAAAATGTCAAAGGAAATTGTTGTCATCAAAAAAATTGAAGCGATTAACTTTACACTTTTATACTACCGTTTAACTTTTATAAAACAAAACTTTTTTCTCCTCAAAATTATGCAAAAAAGTCCACTAAACGGGCAAAGCAGGATAAGAAATTATTTAAGCCGAAAAAAATTGCTTAAGGAAAAAAAATGAAAAATATACCATCCAGGGATAGTAAATTTGAGAAACTACATGAGTTTATCAACGACACTTGAGTCTACAATGAAAACTGTTTATAGCGCAAAAAATCTTGGCGTGGCAACTAAGCCGAAAAACAGTCCGACTATAATAAGGTCCGGCCGGGACTTGAAACCCAGACCATAGGATGCGAAGGCAAACGCATTAACTGCAGGCCAAGAAAGCCTAGGAATCGCTAATAACTCAACACTTATTTAAATTACAATAGTTTAAGAAAAATTATCTACGGGGAAAAGTCTAGTTCCTGATTGCAAGTCACTTGTTTTG